AAAAAAAAAAAACTCCCTGATGGCACTTATATTCGCAAGTCTATAATTTTTATTTCCAGAAATAAAAATTGTAAAAACAAAAATGCAAGGCTGGTTCAATGTATGAAAATTAATCAATGTAATGTATACCATATTATTGAATAAAGGGCAAAAACCTTGCCATCATCTCTATACAAATAAAAAATATGACAAGACCACAGGGGGCATCAAGCTCTATTGGCAGAACATGGATCTTAAAAGCTTGCAAGCAGCCATCTAGATGCAATGATAGGTCTCTCCTCTCAGAGCAAAGACAAATGAAGAAAACCAAAGATTCATGGAAACAATTAGTCCTCGGGATGGGTACACCTTGCGATCCACAGCCTATATGTCTGTGAGCCCAGAAGAATTAGATGGTGCCCGGCTACCACTGTCAACCACTTGGAGGGGGATATCTATGTTTGAGATCCTGGATAGAGAGGGAGAACAATGTGGAACAAAACTCAAAATCATTTGGAAAAAACGAAAAAGAGACTAGTCCAACATACAATCACCAATTAATATAAACACAAAAACATCACAATGCCTCAGAGACAACAGAGCATCACAGTCCACATAAAGAAGCACGGTAAATCAGGAAAAAAGAAGGGACCAGGATACAAGCCTAAAATGCTGCATTGGAGCTCCCTGAGAAGGAATGAAAAAGAATTGTATTTCGGTATCTCCAATGAATTGAGAGACAGATCAAGGAAAACACAGAGGAAACCTACAACAACTTCAAAAGATGATACAAGAACAAAATGATAAAATAAATGAAAAATTAGAAATGATACAAAATCTACACACAGAAATTCAGAAGATTAACACTAAATTTTCAGATATAGATAAGACATTGAATGGGCAAAGGAGCAGAATTGAATTAATGGAAGAAAAAATTAGGTTGAAGGCAAATACCTGAACACTTCTTTGGAAAGGGATAAATCAGGAAAAGATCAAAACAAAATGAAGAAAGCCAAAGGTTCATGTGGGATACCATCAAAAAGAATAACCTATGTGTAATCAGAATTCCAAAACAAGAAGACACAAATAGAACCACAGGAAAAATTGTCAAAGATTTGTTGGAAGAGAATTTCTCTGGTGTGATAAAAGATTAGAATATATCCATTCTGGAAGTCCAACTACCCCAAACAGGATAGACCCCCCCCAAAAAAATCACCCAGATATATCATCATCAAACTTACCAAAACCAGAGACAAAGGAAGAATCATGAAAGCAGCAGGGAAAAAAACAAAAAGTTACCTACAAGGGGCAACCAATAAGACTAAGCTCGAGTTTCTTGACAGAAACCATGCAGGTAAGAAGACAATGGGATGGTATATATAAAACCCTGAAAGAGAAAAATTTCCAACCAAGAATTATGTACCTAGCAAAACTGTCCCTCAAATATGATGGTGAAATTAGGACATTTCCAGATAAGCAGAAATTATGGGAATTTTTTAAAAGCAGACCAACCTTACAAGAGATAATAAAGGGTGCCCTTTGGATAGAGAACCAACAACAGCCAACAACAACTGACCATTAACACACATGATGATATAACCCAGAAACCAACCCAGCTATGGAAGTATCCAAAGTAAATAAGCCTACAAGATTATAAACAGGGAACCAGAGACATCAATTGACAATGGAAGACAACTACAAACCAAAAAGAGGGAAAAAACTCTGTCATTATAGAACTTCTAGATGGTAGGGAAGTCAAGACAACTACAAGATAGAACAGACTGTTCTAAAATTGGGAAGGAAACTGTAAATCACAGGGTAACCTCAAAGAAAAATGATAAACCTTCACATCAAAAAAGAGGACCAGCATAAATATTCAGCAAATACTAAAACAATAGCAATGAAGGAAGTGATAACATGATTCATAAACAAAATGATCTCAGCATAGAAAATTATATGGAACAAAGAAATCGACACCACGAAAGAGCACATAACAAAAATGACAGCAACAAATTCATATTTGCTGATAATTACATATCTGGCAAATGATTTATCTCTAAGATTTATAGCAGAAGAGTGGATGACCAAACTGTGGTACATATACATAATGGAATGCTATGCAGCACTAAAGAATAATGTAGAGTCTACAAAACACCGCATAATATGGATGAACTTGGAGGACATTATGCTGAGTAAAATAAGTCAATCACAGAAGGACAAATATAGTATTAGTTTATTATTGAGGAGGGTCAAGGAAAGGTTTACATATGGAGGGAAACTTTTTTATTGGTTGCCAAGGGTGGAAGGGGAGGGGAGGGAACACTCCAAGAAAAAAAAGCATTGATCCATGTCACTTTAGTTTTGTGTATTTCACTGTACATAAATTATATTTCAATAAAATGCATTTTTTTAAAAATGGGTGTAGTCCAGCAACTAGTGGCCCTTCTAGATTCTAGATAAATTAAAAATGACAAACATGCACTCCTGGGATGCCAAGAAGTAGGGGCATCTCTGAGGACATTAAAGATAGAAGAAAGAAAAAGGACATGCCAAACAATAGATGGACCTATAAAATGAACAATAAGACTCCTGAGGAAAGTATTCCTCAGAACAATTAACCACAGGAGACCAAAAGGACATCATTTACATCATTAACAGAGCCTAGAAGGCAGGAAGGGACAAGTAAGAAGGAGGAATGGAAATGGGGAACTGAGGTAGGAAGGGGGAAAAGTACTATTACATTAAGGGATTCAAACTAATATCACAAAACAAAATGTGTATAAATTATTGAACAGAAAAATAAGTAAAATAGGCACTGTACAATATAAAGTGGAACATTAAAAAAAAACTCAGCTTACATAATGCTTAATGGTTAAAAGACTTAGTTTTCCATCTAAAGTCAATTACAAGATGAGGATGTTTGCAATTGCCACTTTTATTCAACATTGTATTTATATACATTCACAAAGTACAATCTAAAAATGAAATTAAGAAAATAATTCCAGTTATAATATTATCAAAAATAATAAAATACTTAAGAATAAATTTAACAAATACAGCAATGGTACACTGAAAACTACAAAACATCACTAATAAAAATCAAAGACATCCATGTTCATGGAATGAAAGACAGTATTATTAAGATGACAAACTTCAAAAAGTGAACCTCATGCCATTGAGTTGATTCCAGCTCATGGCCCTATGTGTTACAGAGTAGAACTGCTCTATAGGTTTTCTTGGCTGTAATCTCTATGGAAGTAGATCACCTGGCCTTTCATCTGGAGCCAGTGGATAAGCTGATCCCTAACTACTTGTGCCACCCAGGACTGGCAATACTCCCTACTTTGATCTATAGAGTCAATGCAATTCCTGTCAAAAGTCCCAGCTGCCCCCCCCACACACCTTTTTGGCAGAATTTGGCAACAATTATCCTAAGAATCATATAGAATTGCAAGATATACAGAATAGGTAAACCAATCTTAAAAGGAAGAACAAAGTTGGAATACTCAGAATCTCTGATTTCACATCTTACTACAAAGTTATAGTAATCAAGGTAGTGTGGTACTGACCTAAGACTGGATAGATACAGATCAATAAGATAGAATTGAGACTTTATGGTTAACTGATTTTCAAGATTGCCAAGACAATTCAGTAAGAGGAAAAATATCTTTTCAACAAATGATTCTGGGATATATTTAGGTGCAAAAGTGTTGAAATTGGACCCCTATTTAATGCCATATATAAAAATAAAGTCAAAATGGATCAAAGATCTAAATGTAAGAGCTAAAAGTTAAAATGAAAACTTTTAATTAAAATGAAAACTTTGTGCTTCAAATGATTACCTCCAAGAAAGAGAACCCACAGAATGGAAGGAAATATTTGCAAATTATGTATATGATTAGGGACAGAATATATAAAGAAATCTTAAGTCTGATAAATAAAAAGACAAACCAATTAAAATGAGTAAAGGAATTACACGGACATGTTGCCAAAGAAGATATATAATGCCCACTCAGCACATGAAAAACTACTGAGCATCACAAATCATTAGGAAAGAGCAAATCAAAACCACCATGAGGTACTGCTTCATACCCACTAAGATGGCAGGCAGTAACAGTTGCTGGAGGATGTAGAGAAATTAGAACCTTCATGCATTGCTGGTGGGAATATAGAAGGGTGCAATCACTATGGAAAACAATTTGAACTTCCAGCCTTCTGGTTAGCAGTCAAATGCCTTAGGCACTACAGCACTAGAGCATCCAAGTCAAACACAGAGTTACCATATGACCCAACAATTCTAGGTATATATCCAAGAGAATTAAAAACATATATTCATACCAAAATTTGTACACAAATGTTCATAGTAGTATTTATATAATGGCAAAAAAGTAGAAGTGGCCCAGTGTCCATCAATTCATGAATGGATAAATGATATCTGGTATATCCATACAATAGAATGTTTTTTAGCTATAAAAAGGAATTAAAATACTTACAGATACTACAACATGGATAAACCTTGAAAACATGTTAACTGAAAGAAGGCAGACATAAAAAGCATGAATCCATTTATATGAAATATAAATTCCATTTATATGAAATATAGATTTGGTAAATCCAATCAGACAGAAGATTACTTGTTGCCAGGAACGGGGGGGGCAGGGGTTGTGGAAAATGACTACTAATGGATATGGGGTTTGTTTGTGATGGCTGCCCAAGGATCAGTTTTATGGCATATGAATTATAGCAAAAAAATTCTAAAAGGAATATATTTATAAGGTGCCTATTTTATAATTACTTTGTCATATACGTGTTCTCTTCTATGTTCATAAGTCAGATTTTTAAAAATATCTTTGTTGTTGTTGTTGTTGTTTGCCGTCGAGTCGGCCCCGACTCATAGCGACCCCTCCTTGGGTTTCTGAGGCAGTATCACTACGGAAGTAGGATTGCCCAACCTTCCTTTTGAGGAGTGGCTGGTGGGTTTGAACCACCAGCCATCTGGTGAGCAGTCAAGTACCTTAGGCACTATGCTACCAGAGCTCCTAAAAATATCTTTAGGACTCCTTATTATCTTAATATTCTGATTCTATTTTAAAAATTCCCTAGGGTCTATTAGACCTAATTGCCATCATCAATTCTGATTCACAGCAACCTCATATGTGTGGCAGTAGGCTTCCCTAGGGTTTTCTTCGGTGAGTTTTTGAAAGTAGTTTCCCAGGACTTTCTTCCACATGCCTTCTGAAGGGAATCAAACCACTAAGCTTTTGGTTAGCAGTTGATCACCTTAACCATTTGCATTACCCAGGGACTCCACAAATTAGAATAGAGAGGACTTAAAGACAGAAAATCATATTTTAGAGTAGAAACGTTTAAATAAAGGAAATAAATAAGAAAAACTGAACTAATACTGAAAAGCCACAGTTCTAAACAGAAAGCATTGAAGCTAAATAATGAGAAGCCAAAGAACAACTAAAAGATGAGAAATCTTTCCTGATGATGGAATAAGGAGAACAACCTAAATTATAAGTGCATTTTTTTCACATGTTTAACATAACCTGACATTGATATTATTTACATCTTTAATTTTTTTGTATTTAAATAATATTGTATTAAATTCCAACTTTTACTTTTAGAAATATGCATAAATCTATGTTTTTTAAATGGTTCATGAAATGTAGGCATCTCTATTTTTTATAATCATGGAAAATTCTGTATGTTTTTAATGCATTTTTTTTTCAGTCTTTCTCCCTAATATAACAATTTAGGCTTATCTACTTGTTTATCCATCACTAGTAGGAAGTAATATCCTCACCCTGCCTCCGGTCATAAAGTCATTGATTGCCAAATTCTCAAGTCCTTTAATCCTGAATGTCACCAAGTTACATCTACTCATTATAGCATTACACTATCATCTCAGAACTCAGAAGTCCAAATAGTAACTGAAGGAACTTTGCCAGGAAATTATTTTTCCTCTTTTCCGAAGGTGATTCTTTCTGTCCCTTAAAGCTGTGTCTCATAATTTCTTTTTCAGGTAGAATATGAGCACGTTGCCCGAGAATGTCGGCTTGGCAGCAAGGAAGGTCGGCCTTTTTCTGGGGTCACTGCTTGCCTGGACTTCTGTGCCCATCCTCACAGGGACATTCACAACATGAATAATGGAAGCACTGTGGTATGTACCTGGGAGGCCTTCAATTCCACAGGCTTCATCACTGTGCATTTAGACTGTGGTCCTTGAATACAATTGACTATCGTGGTGACAAATTATGATGTATAAGATTACCTTTAGGCAGCATCTATTAATTTTATTGTCAGTCCATTTCCAAAAACTTACAGAATCTACCTGAAACAAATATTTTATTGAAAGAGTTGAATTATATACCTAATTGTGGTATGTTTACTAGGAGACATGAGTACATGATTATTTAGAACAGCAGTTCTGTGCTGTCAAACTGTTAAGTACAAAGTTGAGCGAGTTACTTAATGTTTCTTTTTGCTATTTGGACCTCAGCATTTTGGGGAGGAAACTGCTAAACTTACCATCTTTTTAATGCATATTGGTTCTTTTATGCCGGTATGTATGGAGTAATATTAATATTTTTTAATATTTTTATTAATACTTAATATTCCAAATTCAACAGAAATATTTGCATTGAGGTTTGCAATGTGTTTATAGATATGTAAATACTCACATATGCATAGCTTGAAGTCAAAATATAAGGCAGAAGAACCAGTAAAAATCATGGAATAGCCTTTGGTCAAGGAAATGACATTGGTTTTTCTCACCTGGTAAAACAAGAGATCATCAGAGAGTGATTGCCTCTATATTTGAACAGTACCAATTTGTTTGACTTGTGTAGAAATTTGGATCCTTCATTAAGACATAAGTACAGGCTCTTACGCTTGGTAAAATGGAGAGTCAACGAAAAAGGTGAAGGCCCTCAACAAGATGGATTGACACAGTGGCTGCAATTATGGCCTCAGGTATAGCAAGCATCATGAGGCTGGCACAGGACTGGGCAGTGTTTTGTTCTGTTGTACACAGGGTTGCTATGAGTCGGAGATGATTCAGTTCCACCTAACAGCAACCTAACAGCAACACAGGCTCTTACAATGTGATCGGAAGTTTGTAAACAAATCTGTCAAAAACCAGCCTCCTTCCTTGTGTAATATGTGACTAATTCACAGGCCAAATAAACTTTTAATTAGTGAAGATGACTGCTCTTCATTAATGCTGATGGTATTCTTTGAGACAAGTATTATTTTCCAAATGTTCAGATTAAATGAATTCGCATCCTAGCTGGAGAGTGATACATCATCATCACTTGTCCTCATTACAGAATATCTATGAACAGGCTGGAGGATGGTCCAGATGAGGTTCAGAGCCCAAACTAAGTTTTTGTTCCTGTTGTCTGTGTTCTTTGACCCTGCTGTTCTGGTTACTTACAGAACAAACTCTTACCCTGGGACTTGTCATCACTCCTAATTTCTTGATCGCTGATATCCTGGATTCTTGAAATTCTACCGCTGACTCTCCTTCCGCCTCATTCCCTTGCCTACTCTGTATATTTATGCTTCCCAATGTCTAATCTTGGTTCCTTTCTTAGTCTCCGTATGAACAAATAGTCTCTGTATGGACAAATAAAAATGACTGAATCAAAAATAGACTGATGGAAGATTCTTATATTCAAAACTTTTTAATAAGTTATTATCAGATTACACTGAGGAGAGTTCAGTATTTCAAGTTTTCCTGGTAAATGTGGATAGATATTGAGAAAACAGTGATACAAAAGAGCTTACCTTGATTTACCAACCTGTATCTTTAAGTTCGTGTATGAAACCTTAACCTCCTTGAAAATAATCTAAATCTGTCCATTTCACCTATTCACATTCTTACAGTATCTCTGCTATCTAAGAAATAACTCTTAGCTCTAGGGAAAAGTCTAATGAGAAATGAAGAAATCATTGGACATATTTTTGATAGATTTTTTAAATAACATTTGAAAAGAATTACAAAATAGAATTATGATTTTATAAAGCAGATTATTCATATTAGCTACCCAAAGCCAGGCATTTTCTGCATATGGTTCTATATTTTCATTTTTCTACAATGAATAAGCATAACTTTTAAAGTAAGAAGCAGGGCTGAAATAGATTATATTTAACAGAAAAAAATTTAAGCTATCTTATTTCAGGTCCAAAAGAAAGGCAGAGAAACTATTTTTTTAACTATTAGTATGAGAATATATGTCTGTAGAAAGAGAAATCTCTCTTGTTCCTCTTCCTTTGCTACTGACACTTCTCAATTTATTTACTGAAGAAAATAAAATTCACCCTGACAAAAAGGGCAGAAAAAAAAAATCTATAAAGAAATCTCACTTAAAAGCAGGAGTGAAAAAGTCTTAAAGCCCAGAAAATTAGAATGTTTCATTATGATCAAGGACCCCTACCCCCACCACGAAGGGATTGTGCCATTAGTTAAATTAAGAAACAGGGTGCTGTGTCGGCAAAAATCCTATCTTTTCAATGTTACTGTTGGTCGATGTCAAGTGGATTCCAACTCATGGTGACCCTATATAGACTAGAACTGCTCCATAGATTTTTCTTGGATGTATTCTTTGGTGGCCTTTTTTTCCATGGTGTTGGTACCTCTGGCTGGGTTCAAACCTCCAACCTTCATGCTATTAGTTGAGTGCAAACCCTTTGCCCTACACAGGGATCTTTCCTCTGTAGTTAATATTTTGTGAGGAGACCGTGAACACAATTCAATAACCATTTCTGAAGTTAAGCATGTGGTAATAATGAGGTACATCTAGAAAAAACTATAATATGTAAACTACAAATAATATTATCATGTACTTATCAAATCAACTCAGAATTATATTGGCTTGCGTTACAAACAACTGATAAGTTATTAGAATTGAATTAGATTTGAGTGGTTTGAAATAGGATATATTTATCTAAAACTAATATACCAACACCTACCAAATGGAAATCCAGATTCTTTTCACAGTGGCGACAAGGCACAGCTAGGAATAACTAATGGTAAATGTCCAGGACCTATATTTCCCATTTCATGTTTTCTTCCTATCAGGTTTGTACTTTAACACGAGAAGATAACCGCTCATTGGGTGTTATTCCTCAAGATGAGCAGCTCCATGTGCTACCTCTTTATAAACTTTCAGACACAGATGAGTTTGGCTCAAGGGAAGGATTGGAAGCAAAGATCAAATCTGGGGCCATCGAGGTCCTCACACCTTGCCGCAAAAAAAGAACACGTTTTACACTGCCTGTTCCTCGTTCTGGGAAGAAGAGAGCAGCAATGATGACAGAAGTGCTTGCTCATAAGATAAGGGCAGTGGAGAAGAAACTCATTCCTCGGATCAAGCGGAAGAATAACTCAACAACAATCAACAGTAAGACTTCATCACTGCCGCTTTTAGGTGAGCCCCTTAGGGAACCTACTAGTTTTCTATTCACAACACTGAGTTGCAGCAGGGTGTGGACTTTCCCTGGTACCTTATTTTTCTCTTTGTTATCTTTGCAGCTCTCTTAGAGATAAGGCATTATGAAAAGAAAAATTTTAGAGAAAAAATTATTCTGGAACCTTTATTATTTTATATATGTGCGAAAAGGAAAAGGCAACCAAAAAATGACCTTTCACTATTTCTTGGTATTTTTTTCTATTTATTCCTTTTTAAAAATTCCTGAATCACCCAAAGCATTAACTTAAGTAATTCAGTCCACAAAAATTACCAAGCACCACTTTGAACTTGGTCTAGGTGTTAGAAATGCAACAGTGAAAGAACAGGAAGGTTGGGCTGTCATATAAGGCTTCACTGGGAATGTGGCATTTGATGGAAATGAGAGTTAGCAATTTTGATCTTTGGAAATATAATGTTCAAGTTGGAAGAGATGACAAGTACAAAGGTCCAGAGGCAGGAATTTACCTTAAATGTTTGAAGTGAACTAACAGGCCAGTGTGGCTAAAGCAGAGTATGAAATAGAGAATTAATAGATATCAGACAGGTAAACCACTTTGAAGACTTTTATTGTGAGTCAGAGAAAAATTACTGGAGATTTCAGAATATAGAAGGACTATGAACTGGCTCAGACATAACACTGGTTGCTAGCTTGAGACTAGAATAAAGGGGACACAGGATAGAAAAGCAGAAAGGCCATAGGAAGCTATCCTACTAACCCAGGAGAAATATGATGAGACTTGGACCAGGAGGATTCCTAATGAGGTGGAGATGAGAAATGTCTGATCCTTGATACATTTTGAATGTAGAGTCAAAAGGCTTTTTTTAGATAGGTTAAACATGGAATGTAAGAGCAAAGGAAGGGTTACCCTGATGCTGTTAGCCTCGGGAAACTGAAAGGATGCAGCCCTTATCCACTGTGATGAGGAAGGTGGAGAGAAGAGTAGGTTTGAAGAGATAAATGGAGGAGATTAGCTCAGTTTTAGATGTGTCAAGTTCTGGAGGCCTATTAAAACATTCAAGAGGAGATGTTACATAGACATTTTAATAAAAGAATTATTTTTAGTGAAGCAGTCCAGGCTAGATATATCATTTTGGAAGTCAACAGCATACAGATTGTATTTAGAACTATGAGGCTGAATGATTACCACCAACTTAAGGAAGATAGAACAGAAACCCAAGAAGTAGTCATGGCAGTACCCAATTTGGGATAAGAAGGAACCAGCATGAGAGACTGAGAAGATCTGGTGAGGTAGGAGTGAAACTGTTTCAAAGTTGGAGTGATCCAACATGTTAAGTGTTGCTCCTATGTCAAATGAAACAAAGACTGAGATTTGACCATTAGATGTGAAGGTTATTAGGGATAGGGACTCTGCTAGAGAAATGAATGAATGGCATAGGTTCTAAGGAAATGAGACAGATTCTTGAGGCAATTTCCTATAAAGGGGATAAATGGAATGCAGTGAAGATTATAGGGTTGAGAGTGTTTTGTTTTGTTTTTAATGAAAAATTTAAAAATATACAAAGTTCACAAAAGTGTTTAATGAACTTGCCTCTCATCATATACTCGTATCTCAGCTTAAAATTTTTTCAGTACATTCTTGTTTCTTCTATACCTTCACCCAGACCCCTGCCCTTAGATTATATTGACACAAATTACAGAAATCATATCATTTTATATGTGTCACTAAAAGGTAGGGAATCTTTATAACCATAACACTATAAAAATAAACAAGAAAATAAACCAATAATGGCTTAGTACCAATTAGTGTTCACATTTCTCCATATATCTCATAATTGAATTTGTTTTTCAACATTTGGTTTCTTTAAATCAGTATCTATCCAAACAAGGCTACACATTATATTTAGTTGCTATATGGCTTGTCTCTTTTTTAATTTAAAGTTTCTTTTACTCCTCTTTTTTGTTTGTTGGTTTGGTTTGGTTTGCTTTGCTTTTTGCTTTTCATTACAGAATAAACCATTTTGCTGTAGAGACTGATTTTGCTGGTTGCCTTCCTGTATTGTCAGTTAATATGTATACGGTCCCTTCTATTTCCTATAAATTAATGCAGATCTGAAGGTTTGATTAAATTTAGATTTTTGTTTTATTTTGTTTTGTTTTGTTTAATACTGTGGCAAGAATAAGGAGCTCTGGTGATGCTGTGGTTAAAGCACTGGGCTGCTAACCAGAAAGTTGATGGTTCGAACCCACTAGCTGCTCCGCAGGAGAAATATGAGGCAGTCTGCATCTGTAAAGATTTGCTGCCTTGGAAACCTATGGGGTTGTTCTACTCTGCCCTATAGGATCACTCTGAGTTGGAACTGACTTTGATGGCAGTGGTTTTGTTTTGGTTTGGTTTGGTTTTTATTGTGATTTGGGCGAAAATTTACAGAGCAAATTCACTCTCCATACAGTAGTTCACATACACTTTATCTCATGACATTGATTACAATTTACCCCAACGCAACAGCTCCTGTCCCACTTCCTCCCAATAGTTACCTCTTCCCTGTGTCCATCCCTCCATGTACTCCTGCCTCCTGAGCTGTCTCCCTGTGCATAAACAGCCCTTTTTTCTCCCATGATTGCTCTCTCCAAGGAGTGTATCTACCTCAGGTAAATATTCAACTCCCATGCCTGTCTTTTGTTTGGCTGGAAGCCAAAGGTGTGGTTCAATTCCAGACCTGAAGGGCACCTAGGGGCCATAGTCTCAGTGGTTCCACCAGGCTCTATTACACCAGCAAACCTGGTCCCCCCCTTTTTTTTTTTGCTCCAAATGATTTTGAATTTTGTTCCACATTGTTCTCCCTCTCTATCAAGGATCTTCTACATAGATTCCCCCTCTGAGTGGTTGACAGTGGTAGCGAGGCACCATCTAGTTCTTCTAGTCTCATAGTCATATAAGCTGCAGATCGCATGGTGTACTGGTCACTAAGACTAATTGCTTCCATGAATCTTTGGTTTTCTTCATTCTTCTTAGCTCTGGATGAGGAGAGACTCATTGTTACATCTAGATGGCTGCTTGCAAGCTTTTAAGATCCAAGTCACTACTCGCCATAATAGGAGGTGGAACAATGTTTTGTGTATCATGTTATGCCAATTGAGCTTGATGTCCCCTACAACTGTGGTCCCAAGCCCACAGGTTCAACTATGATGGCAGTGGTTTTTATGGCAAGAATACTAATGGTGTTTTGTACACTCCTATTGCACCACAACAGGAAGCAAGTAATGTCTGAGGGTCTCTCTTTGTAATATTTAGGTTGATCTATGGGTCAATGTGTTGTCAACCTGATCACTTACAATATCCCCTATAGGTTTTGTACCTAATGGTTTTAGAAACACCTATGATCATTGTCTAGATCTATTCTTTCAGTAGAACTAACAAACTTTTGTTCTGTTTTTAGTTGTTAGTTGATCTTTTTAAAACAAACAATACTGTCTTTATCAGTAACTTACTAATTCTGAGGTATAGAGTTCATACTCCCAGGGAAATGAGGATAAAGGCCCAGTTATTTACCTTTAGTCAGTAATTTTCAGCATACTAATTAGTTCTCAAGTATCTTCCAATGTGATCAATTTTTTTAAAAAATTAATAGGATTATGGTCTCATGGATTTTACCATCATTTATATTGCAGTGTATTTTTGGAGTGTATATGTGTTTAAATTTTAAAATGCTTTAAAATACTCAAATTATCCCATCTATAGTCACTAGAAACCCTTTCATATTGGCTTCTGAGTTCTTTTGTCACTCTGATTGTGTGATGATTTTATTGGTCCCTAGTACAAGATGTTCAAAGTTCATCTTATACATTGCCTGCCCCATCTAATGTTACCAATTTTTCTAAGGAGAAAAAAATACATCAATTAATACTTATATTCAAACTTGGGATTATACTTCATCTTCACTTCTATGGTTTTTGTATTTGTGAGAGGTTTGCTTTTTTAAGATGTGAGAAATGGCAGGGCGTGTATTGATACACTGCTGAAAAAGATTCTGTAAAGAGAAATATTGAAGATGCAAGATGGGACAATTATCACTCCTTACTTATAACTCCATTTTATAGATATTAAATTTAGGTTTACTTTATGGTTCATATATCTTATTCCATATTTCTTGTAAACAAGTGCAACCAATACTTGCTATCCTGTGTCATTCCCAACAGTATCCTTACATAGAACAAGTGCTGGTTAAATGTAAATCATTTTCAGATGTACTTTTTTGGATATCTTCTTACAGCATATACCCTATTAGTATCCATATGCACAATGCCCTTTTCTGCTCTTACCCATAAGAACTTTTTTGAGGTATATCCAACTCAGCAAAAGACTCATTACTCTTTTTTTTTTATTGTGATTTGGGTGAAAGTTTACAGAGCAAATTCACTTCCCATACAGCAGTTCACATACAGTTTGTCTCATGACATTGAATACAATTCCCCACAATGTAACAGCTCCTTACCCATTTCCTCCCCATAGTTACCTCTTCCCTGTGTCCTTCCCTCCATGTACTCCTGCCCCCTGAGCTGTCTCCCTGTGCATACCTAGCCCTTCTATTCTCCCATGATTGTTATCTCCAAGGAATATATCTACCTAGTGTAAATGTTTACTTCATATTCCTGACTTTTGTTTGGCTGGAAGCCACAGGAGTGGGTTCAGTTCCAGACCTGAAGGGCAGCTAAGATCCATAGTCTCAGTGGTTCCAGCAGGCTCTATCAGACCAGCAAACCTGGTGTCTATTTATTTATTTATTTTCCAAATGATTTTGAGTTTTGTTTCACATTGTTCTCCCATTCTATCCAGGATCTCCTACATAGATCCCCCTCCAAGTGTTTTACCAGTGGTAGCCTGGCACCATCTAATTCTTGTGGTTTCATAGTTGTATAGGCTGAAGACTCATTACTCTTTTAACTCTTCCTTCCCATGATTTCCATTCTGTTGATACTTGACCTCTATAACAATAGATGCAGAATAGAAGCAGTCACAGGTAACAGTACAGGCCTTTCCACGTACCATTACCTGGATCTTATGTATGTTTTCTCTGTAGAAATGAAGAATGGTCATGACACCATGTTATATTGTCTGAGGCAAGAATTGCAGATCTTCTAAAGTAAATCAAAGTTTACTGTCATAGTATTAACTATTTAAAAGCAAGGCAGGTTTTTCACCTTTTCTATTTCTTGATACTAAAAGTTTTGTCTTTTGAAATTCCACCATTTTTTTTCTTAAATTTCAAAGTAATAAAAGTTTCCATTTGACCTGAAATTTGTGTAGATTTAAAGTAGATTATGCACACAAACCAATGTGATAATAATGATCTGCCTGTATAGTAAAAAGGAGAAAGCTTAAATTTGCTCTATTTTTTCTATTTTTTAAAGGGTCACAAATTCCTTATTTCCAACCTAAAATTTTTATATACTTTCCCTTTGATTAATAATTAACTTTGACAGTTAGGATACTTTCATTACCTAGAAATATTTACAAACTATTGCTTATTTTACTTCATAAAAATTTAGATCATGTATTGCCTAAAATGCATCTCTTTAACTGTTATTCTATATTATCACCTAGATAATATTCTAATAGGAGCTCTGGTAGCATAGTGCCTAAAGCAACTGACTGCTAACCAGAAGGCTGGCAGTTCAAACCCACCAGCTACTCCTCGGAAGGAAGATGGGGAAATCTACTTCCGTAGTGATACTGCCTCAGAAACCCAAGGAGGGGTCGCTGTGAGTCGGTTCCAACTCAACGGCACATAACAACAACATTCCAATATATGGTTGTATTATTTACTTCATGGCCAATTAAGTTATTTCTAATATTTTACTATTATCATCAATGAACAGGAGCCCTCATGGCACAATGGTTAAGTGCACAGCTGCCAACTAAAAGGTTAGCAGTTTGAACTCACCAGCTGCTTCATGGGAGAAAAGACCTGGCGGTCTGCTCCCATAGAGATTACAGCCTAGGAAACCCCATATGCGGTTCTCCGCTGTCCTACAACATTACTATTAGTCAGGATCAACTCAGTGGCACATAACAACAACAATCAATGAACATTCTTTTGGCTAAATCTTTGCATTTATTTATGATTATTTTCCAAGGGAAGAACTCTTTAAGGAAAATTGTTAGGTGAACAAGTATACCAAACTACTACAAACTACATATTATGTCTATGTGTGTGTACTGTACTGTGTGTTTTTGACTTGATATAAAATAATACTGAGCAATATTGCCAATATCAGTGTTTTGTTACATTATCCTTTAGACTTCTCCTTAAAAATACTCTTTAAAGACAACAATTACCAACAGTACTTTGTGTTTATCTTCACCTTTGGTGTCCTTTTCTCTGTTTAGGGTGTAAAAACGAGACCTTGCAACCTGAAATAAAAAGTGACACTGAACCACATTTTATCTTCAAAGGTTCAGACAACACTAAAACCTACTCACTGATCCCATCCATTCCTCACCCAGTGAAAGAGGCCAACTTATCTCCAGGCTTCTCCTGGTCCCCTAAGAGTACTTCGGCCACAACAGCTCCATTTAAGAATGATGCAGCAGTCTCCTACAGGTTTTCAGAAAGAAGTAGCAGTCCCCACTGCACAATGCCTTCTGCCAGACTCAGTGGTGCTAATGCAGCTGCTGGGGAAAGCACTGGAATTGCACAGTCTGATGAATCGGCTCCTTTCCCCACCCTGTCTACTCCCACGACAGATTCCCTGGTTTATTCTGAGCCTCCCACTGGTCCAACTGAGCAGCTAACTCCTGATCAGCCAAACCAGGAGCCCTCGTTCATCACCTCTCTTCATGAACTTGCTCCCTTGGTCGTGGAAGAAGATGAGCAGCATTCTGAAGCAGATGAGCCTCTTTCTGATGATCCCCTTTCAGATGATCCCTTGTCACCTGCTGAGGAGAAATTACCCCACATCGATGAGTATTGGTCAGACAGTGAGCATATCTTCTTGGATGCCAATATTGGTGGGGTGGCAATAGCACCTGCCCATGGCTCTGTTTTGATTGAGTGTGCCCGGCGAGAGCTTCATGCTACAACTCCTGTTGAGCATCCAAACCGGAATCATCCTACACGCCTCTCCCTTGTCTTCTACCAGCACAAAAACCTGAATAAGCCTCAACACGGCTTTGAACTAAACAAAATTAAATTTGAGGCTAAAGAGGCTAAGAATAAGAAAACTAAGACTTCAGAGCAGAAAGACCAGGCAGCTAATGAAGGTCCTGAACTGTCCCCTGAAGTTAATGAATTGAACCAAATTCCGTCTCATAAAGCATTAACATTAACCCATGATAATGTTGTCACCGTGTCCCCTTATGCTCTCACACATGTTGCAGGGCCCTATAACCATTGGGTCTGAAAGCTTTCCCCCCCTTCTTAATGCCTTTGCTAGTGCAGTGTATTTTTTCAAGGTGCTGTTAAAAGAAAGTCATGTTGTCGTTTACTGTCTTCATCTCACCCATTTGAAGCTGAGGTAAAAAAAAAATGGGGTGGGGATTTCTTAACTGTGATTATATTTTGACAATTGGTAGAAAGTGCACATTTTAAGCAAAAATTAAAATTTTATAGTTTTAAATACATAAAGAAATGTTTTGGTTAGGTGTTAACCTTGATAGAATCACTCAGTTTGGTGCTTTAAATTAAGTCTGTTTACTATCGAACAAGAGTCATTTTTAGAGGATTTTAACAGGTTCATGTTCTATGATGTAAAATCAAGATACACAGTGTTAACTCTACACAGCTCCTGGTGCTGAACCACATCCACACAGTTAAAAATAAGCTGAAATTATTATTTTATGGTGCCATTGTTCCAACATCTTCCAATCATTGCTAGAAAATTGGCATATTCCTTTGAAATAAACCAATGAAATGTTTTCTCTTAAAATACTTCTGCATAAAATAATTCATTGTTGTTAGTAATGGTTGGAGGCTGTTCATAAATTGTAAATATATATTTTAAAAGCACTTTCTATTTTTAAAAGTAACTTGAAATAGTATAAGAATCCCATTGTCTATTGTTTGTGCATATTTGCATACAAGAGAAATTTATTCTTGCTGTGTAGAGTTCCATCTTGTTAACTGCAGTATGTATTCTAATCACGTATATGGTTTTTTTTTTTTTTTTAATGTGTCCTTTCTCATTCAAATATTAGCTACTTATATAAAATAGATAATGCAAAAATTGTCAATTATCTAAAACAGAAATTAGGATACATATTACTAATATTGATTAACATTTTTCTTTGGAACTAATTAAGAGTGGTCTCTTTCTGATTTAGTGAGCAACAGTGGCCCCCGTTTACCTTCATCCCAACTTTCTCAATTTAATCCATGACAGGTGTTTTCAAAAGGAGATTGGACAGAATAGGATTCTAAAGAGTCAAATGCTTCCAATGTTTCAAGGTGATAGTACAAAAATAAATTAGCTAAGCCCTATCCTTCCCAAATTGCCTTATTTGTTCTGAAAGTCAATCTGGTATAAAATAAGAAAAAAGTTCACATCAAAATGTTTTAAAGATAAATTTTTATCATCATCACATCCCCACTCACAGCCCAAATAAACCTTAGGATTGGTATTAGAAGCATGGTTTTGTCCATCAAAACTAATCTGAAGTAGTTTATCTTAGCATATTAGTTTGGGGAAAATAACATTTTATCTTCTCTGACAATTGCCTGAGGTCTAGGTAACAGGAAAATAGACATTCCATTTATTTTAGTCCTACTATTTGCTCCCATTCTTTATTGACTCATTTTATACCAAAACTAAAATAATTGCCCAACTAAAATTGTTTAGAACAAGAACTTTCAATGAAATACTTGATTCTGTTAAAATGCAGAGGTGCTATAATATTAAAAGTGTCAGATTCCTTGGGAATATGGAAAACCTAATGGTGCTTCTCCCTCGGAAATGCCATAGGAAGCCCACAACTGCTAACACTCATACTTTTGGTGCAAAAGGAAACAGTCCAGCAAGCTCTCTAAAGAAAAACTCATAACTTATATTAAAATAATATATGGTGCAAAGTATAAGTTTCAAGCTTTTGACTAAACCAAGTAAAGGAATATGAAGGGATTGTAAATAACAAAATGTCAATTGATAGACCATCATCTTGTACAAATAGATTTCTGCTTCTTGAGTATGTACAATAGGGTATTTCATTGACTTGTTTTAGTATTTTGTGTGCCTTAGATTTCTGTTTTAAAACATGTATATTTTTGTGAGCCTAAGGTTTCTTATACATATAAGTATATAAATAAGTGATTGTTTATTGCTTCAGCTGCTTCAATATTTACCCTAGTATTAGACTATCAGAAATAAACCCTTGTGATATTATGTTTTAGATTTTAGGCCTTAGCCCCCCACTAGAAATCATTTCCTCACCAGATTTAATGGATAACGTTGTAAGGCCCTTTATCATCCACCCATCTACCCGTTCTTGTATTCTACAAACACTTATTGAATGCCTGCAAAATTTACATATGCTTTTGTTTTTCTTTGAATCACTACCTAAGACATAGTAAACTTAAAGAATTAAAATCCTAAAAGATACTTTTGCAAATATTTTTAAATGTAATATCAAATTTCCTTTAAAATAATCCATTATGTCTGCAGCAATTCAAATTAGTTTATTACTTATATTTTTATTTTTTTTAGTTTCTTAAGAATCTAAAATTTAAACAGCAGTGTTAACTTTTGGGGATATTGGGATTTGTGAAGCCTGTTACAGTTTACCAACAACAGTTAACATAAAAATATCCAGTGTCAACTAGTGTGTTTCCATCCCATTGTTATAATTAGCTTCATGAATGGACTGCCTCAACTGATAACCCCACTGTGGGAACCACACACAATTCCTACTTTGTCGGACTCTATTTCCTAAGTTTAACAGTTTATTATCCCAATTTCTGCCCTGTGATTTTTTTTTTTAAAAAAAAAATGCTTATTCAATGTTCTGCAGCACTGTGATTGTATGCTGGATACACTGCTTTTAGAATGCTCTTTCATATGAAGCAAGGAAATAAATTTGTTTGAAATTACATTTTCATTCAGAAAACTGGTCATCTAACATTATTTCTACACCTCTGGGTATCTTTTTCAGTAATGGTTCCTTTTCTTTCACTTTTTGAAATAACACTCAAATTGGCTTTTAAATCTTTTGCCTTTGTTCATGGTGTGATAACTGAATTTACTGACACACATGATCCCCAATTTAGGCCCACCTGTTTATATTATGTTACAGACTTGTCAACTACCATGAGAGAATACCTCATGCCTATTGTGGAATCTTAGATCCTACAGCCCTTCAAAATACCATCTCTAATATATTTTTTTATAGGCCATTGTTGAAAACTTTACTTTTTCTTGTACGTGTCAGCTTCACCTACCTCTTGCTTCCAACTTCTCCACAAAGTACCAAATAGAACACATCATAAAATAATTGAAATATATTATTACTGGAAAGTGAGGTTATGTGAAATTGTATAGATATAGGATTTTTGAAACATTAGCAAAATGTTTGCATCTTAAATAATCTTTGAACATCTTTATTATGCAATCTGCATGTGGATGGAATATTCTCAATTATTAAATATAGAACTTCAACTAGATGAGATCCATAAGCAATTTACTTAAGACATAACCACAATACATATTTAATTGAATGCATACCCTGTGTAAATGAGCTACTGTCTTAATTCATGCTTACTAATATTAAGCACTCGGCTGCTAACTGAAAGGTTGGTGCTTTGAACTCACCAGCCCCTCTGCAGGACAAAGATGTGGCAGTTTGCTTCCATAAAGATGACAGCCTTGGAAACCCTAGGGGGCAGTTCTACCCTGTCCTGAGGATCACTATGAGTTGGAACAGTAATGTTTAATGTTATCACTTCAGTGGACTCCTACTGGTTATCTTTTCACAATAGCATGTGTGAAAATAACCCCAGACTATTTAGGTTAGTCTTTAAAAAATACTATATTGAGACCTTTTTTCTGGGACAAAGTTGTGACATTATTGCATGACAACTTCCACTGATAGTGAGCACAACATTTCCTTTGAATGTGCTGACAAATATCAGTAGCTGTATGCCATCCTTAATAATCTGTACCTACCTTCTATCTTCTATTTCATACTCTCTTAATGCATGGGAATCTCTCTCTCTCTCTCTCTCTCTCTCTCTCTCTCTCTCTCTCTTACTCTGTCTATATTAACTACAACTCTTAAGTTCTTATCTTTTGTAGAAATTTATGATAAAAGAATAGTGAAATAAGATAATATGGTAGTGGCCTCTCACAGCACTGGAAGTCATCTTCGAAGTCACATAGACCAGTCACTTAGAAAGCAGAGGTTAATGTTGGTTTGTAAATATGTTTGTAATTAGACTTTAAGCTGTCAGTTAAAGGCCACTTTCTGGTTAAGAGGCCTGGAAAAAGAAACTGAATGTACTCACCCAGGGGGTATTTTTGTCACTGGGAAATAACCTTATTTTTTGGTACAAGTCAAAAATGAAATGGCTTTGGGTTTTTTGTGAGCTGTTAAGGATAAAATTGCAGCAAGATTCCCTGGCTGCAGAGTTTCAGGGTCCTTTTGTGGGAAATCTGTTGACTTTCCCAGCTTTGAAACTCATCCTACAAAATGTAGCAAAAGTCGTATTTGCTATTTCAATTAAAAAAAAAAAAAATCCTTATATAGTACAGGCTTTATTTCCTCTGCAACTAGTATTAGGCATATGTAAGGAGATATAAAAAAAAAAATTGGTGATTGAAATAATTGGTTAAACTATATTTCCATTGTATATATTACCTATTTCCACCTCTTTGTATATACTACAGTCCCCATCGCTTGCCTTTTTCTCCTCACAATTAAAGTCCAGCATTGTTTATTTTGATGTGGGTTATCTACATGTATTAGAATATTGTTTTATAGTGCACAGCTCATAACCTTACCATAAGTGGATTTAATTTGTGACCTCAAGGTATAGTAGTCTTAACCAAGAGACTGATCAGTACCCTCCATAATTCCTGAAGAAGTCTTCAAATTTATCCAAATCTAATTGTGCTCCATGTATAGCTTTCTTTTAATAGGTTTTCAAAATGATACCATCCTTGGCTCTAGAATACAATTCAAAAAATGAGAATCAGTATGTCCTTCACTGGAAGATGACTTCAAATATTTTCTTAGAATATCCTGAGAATCATTGGCATCTTTTGCTTTCTTTATGCATATAAAATAGAATCTGAGTTCCTCATATTCTGAGAAGGGAGAATGGGGCTTTATGCAGGACATCACTATTTTTATCCACACTCAACACTATACACATTATTTCTCTGTCTTCCTCTATCTGGATGACTGTTTCAACTTG